TACATTGTTACATAATTGTATTTTTTTTTCATTATATGTTTCCCCTGTGCTTAATGTTTGGATCATCTTTCATGTTTGAGTCTTATTCAAATGCCTGGAAATGCTTGATTACTTATGTTTATGAACAAGGGCCAAGCTGGATTAGCTGAGAAGGATTTTTGCCAAAGGTGTTTTTATCATGCTTTGTCCCTCAATTAAAGGGTTGACTTTGGGTTCTGGGTAATTTATCAAGGCATGCAGACAAGAACTCCCTTTAGGATATGAAGTTGAAGAGGAGTCTGGAAGATCTCTTAGATGCCAAACTAAAAAATGTTTGCTTTGCAGCTGAGGGCAGTAAAAATCTTTACTTTGCAATTGAACACTTTAGTGTATTTAAATCTGGACAGAACTACCTTATTGGAATCTTCCTTTCTTACTTATTATTATCATTTTGAAGTTGATATAGTTGAGATGTTTGTCCCCTCTAAATCTCATGTTGAAATTTCATCTCTAATGTTTGAAGTGGGGCTGACTGGGAGGTGTTTGGTTCATGGGGGCAGATCCTTCATGAGTGGCTTTGTGCCTTTCCTATGGTAACGAATGAATTCTTAGTTCTTGTGAAAGCTAGTTGTTTAAAGAGTGTAGCACCTCCCCTTTATCTCTCTTCCTTCCTCTCTTGCCATGTGACACATCTGCTCCCCCTTCACCTTTGTCATGAGTAAAAGCTTCCTGAGGCCCTCACCAGAAGCAGGTGCTGGCATCATGCTTCTTGCACTGGCTGTAGGACCATGAGCCCAATAAACCTCTTTTCTTTATAAATTACCAAGCCTCAGGTGTTCCTTTATGGCAATGCAAAACTGACTAAGACAGAAGTCATGGTGCTTTGTTTTCCTCTTTAAAACTGGAAACCTATGTAATGTAATGTTTTCTTCCCGTCTTGCCTTCCTCAATTCTACTTGGGTTAGAGCCACCCTGGAAAATACATTCTGGTTGTTACAAAGATATGCTTCTGAGGGTAGAGAGTGTTTTCACCATTACTAACTTTTCAAAGGCAGTTAATTGTGTAGACGTGCTTCTAGATGGTCTTTCCATAAAGTGATCAAATGTATATATTGAATTGAGGTGAATAGAATTGATTACCTTCTTTGTAACCTGTACTTTTTTCTAAGCTTGTGATTTCTTCAGTGTTCATTTCTCTTGTGTCTTTCTCCTGTATTTATTTTGTCTTATGTTTTTTTTTTAACTCTGCAATATACTCTCCCTGCTTCATGATTTTTTTCAAAATTTTTGGTCTCATGATCTCCTACACTATCAAGAACTATTAGTTTTCCCATTTCTTTTGATATTTCAGTGAGATTTTGAGATAAGAAGGAAGCAAATGAATATGCTCCATCTGCCATCTTGAAATAGCCGTCATTCATGTCTTCGCCTTTCTTAAGTTCAGGTGTGGCTCCTGGCTCCCAGAATTCTTGCTCTGTGATCAACTAGTAAAGGAGTAGAGTAAGAAATTCTCTGCTACTATTCTTAGAATATGAATTCAGCTCCTATCTGAATATCAAGGTGAATTGGACTGACTCCTTCTTGCCTTTGTGACCTAGGTATCTTTGGTAGAATGATGAGGGAAATGCAGAAGTTAAACATATTAACTAATAATACCTATTAGACATTTTTACTGGTACCGTGCTATTGATACTTGCAATAAACCTATTAGGTAAGTATTTATATCATCTCATTTTAACTTATGAGTAAACTTGAGAAACATGTCCAAGGTCATTTAGCTAGGATAGGGGAGCTAGGATGGTAAACATGCATATTTGAATCCACTGCCCAAACTTGTGACTGCCAGAAATGCTGCCTGTCATCAGAGAGCTTAGATTCTCTTTTCTACTGATCTCTTTTTACATTTTTTGTGTGCATTTTTCATTTTCATTTTCTCTCATAAAACTATATTCTCAGAGATGTTGTTTCACTAATTCAGTAATTTTGGGGTGACACTGGAAGTTCTACATTTCCATCAAGCTCTTGAGTGATGTAAATGCTGCTGTTCATAGACCATACTCCAAGGCCAGGCTTTCAGTAGTTACCAGGACTACTTTCATCATGCCTCATACAATTTGGCTTCAGTCATCCCCAGAAGCCCAAGACCCCTGGTTATCACATCTTAACCCTATGTCACTATAATCTTACTCAAACTTACAGTTCTCTTAAAGCATTCCTAAAAATTTTGGCCTAAATTCAACAATCTTTTCTGTGTTCTCAATCACCTTTCAGAATGACTGTAACAGATATATGGAAGTCCCTGCAGTTCCCATGAATGAAAGCTAATTTTTGTTTCATACTCTACATACCTCACGGCCTGTAGGTTCTTCTCACTGCTGTTTCCAGGCTACCTTTTTCCTACCCCCATCAAAATTCACAGTTTCTTAGAATCATATGCCATTACAACTTAACATTCACCATTACCACTTAAGCTGCCATGCCATTACATACAACTTAATCTGTCATCCCTGTAACCATGCCTTTATAACTTAACCTCATTTTTGCTATTATCTACAAACATTTATTCATTTATGAGTTGGCATATAACTCACAGTCTTTATCTCTGTCACTAAGTCCTTTCTATCCTTAATGACTTCAAGATCAAAATGGATGATCCCTTATAATCTAGCCTTAGATGTTCTCACTTTGGTGGTCTTTTCCTCTACCCCACTTTAACCATTGACTTCTGCTGATCTGATCATTCAGAGTAACTGTACCACCTCCAAAATCATGATTATAAGCATGACCTTATCTTGGTACAATCTCTGATCTTTCCAGAGGGTATTCATGGTAGTTAGTCTATTCTGCCTGTTATGTAGAGTCAAGGCTAATACAGAATGTGATTCTTGCCAGAGTCTGGATGCATCAAAATTAAAGGACTATGAATAATTGCAATTAGGGTAGGGCAGAACGCCAGAAAAGAAGATTCACATGGGTCATCAAAATAAATAGGTGCTCCAGAAGGAGACATCTGCAATCCAACATAATGCAAGCAAAGAGCAATAGATTTGATAGACAAACAGAAAGATGCACAATAGTGGTGATCATCCAGAGGATGTTATCCTTAGCTGGTTTCCATGGACAATTTGATTTATTTCAGGGGGCGTGGGTGGAACAAATACATATCAGTGTTATTCCAAGGATCAAATACAAGCATGGCATGGATGCAAAAATGTTTTCCAATGCAAATGCCAATTGTCGCTATTATTCTTGATTATTAAAATGACCCATCCTAATCTTATACGAAGTACTGATATTGTGGGATTCCTACTTTCTCTTTAAATCTAGGCAAATATTATTTTCTTGCTTCTTCAGTGGTTAAGAAAATTATGCAGAAACTAGCTGGGGTTGGTTAATTATTCAAACGTGATTATTATACATAAGCAGCATATTTGTTCTGTCCCTATTTGTGCATATATATATTTATTTTTTATGAACCTACTTCCCATCAGCGAAGATAAGAGAATAGAATTAGCACATCTGTCCCATTTGTTGTGACAAAATATGAACTTAAAATCTGTATGCTGATTTAGGGAAGCATATTCCTAGGAGTCCATGGTGAGCCTGATGGAATAAAATTTCAGTAATAAATACAGATGTGGGAATCTGCACTAAATAGCAGCACTACAAAAAAAAAAAAGACATGAAAGATTGTTATGGGAGCTTTTTAAAGAGAAATAGAGCCATCTCTAGAGAGGTGGAGGGTTGGGACAAATATTTTGTGGGAGAGGGAAGGTAGGAAGAGACAGAACAAGAAAAAGGCTTCTCCCTGACATTTTCCAAAATCTTTGAGTGCTAGCACCTTGCAAGGATCATAAAAAGGAAGTTGAGGGTATCAGAGAGGGAGGAGGAAACAACAAAATGTAAGCATTGCTTTATAGGCTGAATGCACACAATGCTTTGTATAGCTTTGGCGATAGCAAGGAAAGGGGGCATGCTTAAACGTCTTGGAGCTAATTATATTTGCTATTTGTATTTGCTTCTATTCATGTCCCCTCACCCAGATTCACAACAATGCCAAACCAGAGACTGCTGTTGCTGTTAGAGGTGGCCAGGAAGAGTGCTCAGACTTCGTGCTGGGCTCTTTGCCACCCAGAAAGAACACATCTTCCTGTAAAGCAGGAACACACACCATATACCCCAAGTTCTTTTTTTTCCAGCTATAATTAGGAATGGGAGTGAGGATAGCTCTTGAGATATTGTTCAATATATCTATATTGATAGTTACCTGGTGTAACATACACTAGTGACATCCAGCAATAATCTAGGTAGGGCACAAACAGACAATATTAAACTGAGATTTATATTTATTTTTTGCTTTCCTTCTATTTATGACAACTGATACTAGCCTTCCATGTGCAGTACTAGTATAAATATTATAGAAATAAATGTATTTAAATAATGAATTATTATTTTTTAAACAATTATCTGTATAATAATTAGGTCAGCTTGCATTAGGCAAAATTTGTGGAGGAGACACCAAGGGACTGACACTTGGAAATCACTAAAGTACAAAATGGTAAGGCAGAAAGAAGACAAGAGTAAAAATAAAAATCATAAATTCTCAGCTTTGCTAATAATTGCTTGTGCAACTGAACAAGTGATTTAACCACTATGGTTAACCTTAGTTTTCTTTCTTTCTTTGTTTGAATATAGATGATAAATCCCAAGTTAGCTAATTTATAATATTTTTTTGAGGATCCAATGGGTTGATATATTTTATATTATTTAAAAAATTTTTTATCTAGTGTTATAATGAGGCGGTATTGTGGATACATCCTAAAAGAGCCCCTTTTGAGTTACAGTCTTGAATAAACCCCCTCATATTGACTGTTGCCAGAACTCATGACTTGTTTCTGAATAATCAAATATGACAAAATAATGGGATATTATCCCCATGGTAGGTGTGGTTATGTAAGTCTTAGGAGAGCAAATGAGAGAGAAAGAGAGAGAGAAATATTCTCTTATTATTCTTGAAGAAGCAAAGAGCCATGCTGTGAACCTGTGAACTGAGTATGGGAAGGAACCTCTAGGACCTGAGAGTGGCCTCCAGCCCACAGCCAGTAAGAAGCTAAGTCTTTTGGTCACATGTCCACAAGGAAATAAGTTCTGCTCACTACTTAAATGAGCTCGGAACCAGATTCTTTCCTAATTGAGTATCCAGATGAAAACAGGGACTTGATGGCTCTGATTGCAGCCTGGTGAGCCCCTAAGCAGAAGACCCAGCTAAGTCATCCCTAGACTCTTGAACCAGGAGAACTGTGAGATAATAAATGAGTGCTATTTTAAACTACTACATTTGTGATAATTTATAAGGCAACAATAGAAAACTAATACGGGTCAGGGGAGACTTTTTTTGGTATGTAGATAATATTTATTGGATTATTATATTATATATATATAATTAATATTACTTTTTTTTGGTAGGGAAACACTAGGAATCTAATAAAGTCATGAATATTTTGAGAAACTCTCCCAAAGACCTAGGATTGGTTTATAGGTATGTAAAACAAATGGATATTGTGTTTTTTCAATGTTTTAGGTAGAATATCAGGTTCTTAATAAATATGATTTTGTTTATTCTCACAATGTTCTAGAGAGGGATATTATTATAGTCATTCTTTGGATGAGAACACTTGCCTAATGGTGGGGCATGCTTAGGATCTGTGTGGAAGCTAACAGAATGGGAATCTGTCTTTTCTACTATACATGTATTTATGGGGAACTGAGCACCAGCCACCTCCATGGGGGTCTAGAAATAAATCCCCAAGCAATGAAAGGTAGACCCGAGGAAAAGTAAGATAGCTGGTCTCGGGCATTATTTGAGCCCCCAAATCCAACTATGTAGAAAATCAGAACTATCTCAAGGCTTTACACGAACCAGTAAATGTCCTTTCTTGAATTTGGATTTTTGTCTTGGAACAAAGAGGAACTAATTTATATAGTTAGTATACAAAAGAGCTGCACTTAGACACCAGATCTCCCCAATCACAAGTTCAGAGCAAATGAAAGTGCTGTGTATGCTTATTTTCTAGGCCTCCCTCTACCCTCACCTCTTTTGTCATATGAAAAGTGATAAAGCAGAAAGGACAATGGATTGGGAGATAAAATGTTTGGATTCTTACCTAAGGTATCCACCTAGTATGGGATGGAGTTAGGACTATAATTTAGATCTTCTCACCCCCAGCCAAGTGTAATTTCCACTAAATAACGAAACAACATGAAAAGTTATCGGAGGAAGAGATCACACACCCATTCTCACTTTTCCAGAAAAGGAAATAAATGGTCAGTCAATTGAAGATTATCATTGTACAAGTAATTATTAGGGAGTTTAGTGAGACTGTGGGATGAGTACAACATGAAGCCCTGAGAGACTCTGGGTTTTTTAGAAGTTGGACTTAATTTTTTCCTTTCAGTTCTTCTTCCCTAATGCTAGTATTACAGATAAGATGTGGAGACTATCATTCAGTGTGATAATTTAGGCACAGGCATTTAGGGTATATATTTTTTTAAGTCAACATGTTTACCTGTCATCTGCAGGCCTGGTGGGAGGCACATTGGTCATAAGTTATAAATAGCTACATTAACAACAAAATGATGATTACTTTGGAAAACCAATGAGCCGCATTCCAATTAGCTTAATAGTTTAACTTCTAAATGTTTAGTTTTTTTTTTAACAGCACAATTCTTGCTTGCATAAATTGTAAATAGTATTGTTATGAATTTTGCTAAAAATACAAAACAATTATTTTTTTTCTTTACTAAAACTCTTGAAAAACAGCCACTCCCAGTTGAGTATATGTGTTTTGAGTCTAATGATCAGCATAGTTAGCTCTTTGCTCCAAGAAACAATGTTATACAATGTGGTCTTCATTTTGGTTTCCAAACTATATACTCACTTCTGGCATATCTGTTTAAACTTTGGAACTCATAGTTATGTCCCAAATTTCTGGAATTGAAATTTTCTGCTCAAGATTATAAAAGGCCCTATAACTTCTCAAAGTAAGACCTGCTTAAGTAGGGGAGTAATGGTGTTCTTTAGCACTTTCCTGAGTTACTAGTCAATTGTCAAGGGACTAGAGTATATCTGGACAAAACACTTACTGTTGTCACTCATCAATGAGCATAATTCCAGAGTAATCTGTTTAGGGTTCATTTTTTTGTTTGTTTTTTGTTTTTGAGACAGGATCTCAGTCTGTCATCTGGGCTAGAGTTTAGTGGTATGATCGTAGCTCTCTGCACTGCACTGTCAAACTCCTGGGCTCAAGTGATTCTTCTGCCTTGGCCTCCCAAGTATCTGGGACCACAGGTGTGTGCCACCATGCCCAACAAATTTTCCTGTTTTTTTGTAGAGATGGGATCTCACTGTGGCTCAGGCTTGTCTCAAACTCTTGGCTTCAAGCAATCCTCCCACCTTGGCCTCCCAAAGTGTTAGGATTACAGGCATGAACCATCTCACCCAGACATGTATACTGTTCATAAGTGGAGAAAGATGTTTTGTGTGTAAGAGAGAGACTATGGAGAAAATCAAATACAAGCAATTGAACACTGGAGTTTATGAAGAAATTGAAATAGCATGAATAAGTTAAAAGGCCTTATAACTTGCAATCTTGGTGGAGGAGATCCACTGTTTTTTCTGCCTTAGTGAGAACAGCTCCAGTGAGAACAGCTTAGTGAGAACAGCTCCAATGGTAGAGCCAAGCCATCTGCCAAATAAGCACTGGCCCAAAGTTAACTCACTCGAGAGAACTATGGCTTCAACACTTTAATCCCTGAGGTGGAAGATTGATTGGGAGAAAGAATTTTAATGGTGACTAAGTATATTCTCTGAATCTAATTTCTCAATCTAGTGTGGCCATCCTCCAGTTTCTGCATGTATTGTGGCTAATTGATTTCATTTGGATATTTTCCTTGGACACCTAAACCACCTGCCAAAGGGACACGACAGCTGGAAGTGATGGATTGTTTTATGTTGGGTGGGGCAACAGCCAAGGACTGACTAGTATGGGAATACAAAAGTCCTGTTTCTTTGCTTGAGGTGGGATAATAAACTATGAGATGGAATAGATGTTGTGGAGTTGATCTGCACATAACTCGTGGCCATTGGAATTTAAATCAATTAAAAATGACATAAAATTAAAAATTGTCTTCCTAGATGCATTAGCCACATTTCAAGTGCTTGTTAGCCACAAGTGGCTAGTGGTTAGCATAGTAGATTTAGAACATTTTCATCATCATAAAAATTTCTGTTGGACCAGGCTCGTCAATAATTTCCTGGAAGAATGACCTAAATTTGAGACTTCCCTGCAATTGAACCCTGGTTTAACTTCTTTCCCTTTACCTATTCTGCTTCCACTATTCTCATATTGTTTTCACGTAGGCACATTATCTTCATGAATCATTTGCGTCCAAACTCTTGATTCAGGTTCAGCTTCTTGTAGAGTGTCACCTTAGATGCCAGAAAAGTCAACCGGAAGAAATTTCAGTTGTTATATCACTATTCTTGAGTGCTAAAAGCCCAAATCTACCTTCATTATACTGATTTTCTTATCATCATCCCTTCATGATACCTCTCTTGATTATATTTCAAACCAAACCACACTTAAAACAAGTGACAGAGTTGAAATTCATGTCTGGTTCTTTGCCAGAGAATTTAGCACTCCTTCAATTTTAAGGTACTGGCCTCAGAACTCCAAGGAATGTGCCACACCTGTAACCCTGTGTGGGCATATACAATGGACGCCAAAATGTGTTTTCTTAGAGGATAGATCATTCACTAGGTGTAGGATGACTATACGGGTCTAGTTGTGAGGTGGGGTTTTACATGCTTTCCTTTAAAGTACATGTAATTGATTGTTTAGTTTCCTAACGTTTTATGTCTGCTTCAACCATGCAGCTTGTCTGACCTATTTTTCTACTAAATGTGCACAAACTGACCTAATAGGTCAAATGCACTCATTGTTGTCTTCATTTTCTTCATTGTCATTATCATCATCATCATCCATTTACTGAGCCAGGCAATATAAGATTTTTACAGTCATTATTTTATTCAATACTCATAACACACCTAGAAGCTGGTACCATTATTATTATTATTGTTACTCTCATTTTATAGATAAACAGAGTGAGAAAAATACTGGAGAATTTCAGCAATGAAAGAGGATGCAATGTATTTCCTTCCCACAATGGTCCCAATCCAACACAGTTTGGCAGATCAGGTGGACAATAATGATTCCTAACTGATGCTACTTGGGCTTATTTCAGTCTGTGTCCATTTCTACCTTGTGCATGGTCAGTGGCAGCGAAGGAGATCAAGCAGCTTACTAACAAACAATAAGGTCAATGCTGCTTTCCTCTCAAATATCCTGTAGTATGCTAACCTGGAAAGTAAACATCAGCAGATTGGGTTCCATTACTTAAGAAACAGATACATAATTTCCTCTGCCTCACTTCTAGAGAGCTATTATTATTGTTTTAAAGGAGAGCTAATTAATACAATACAGCACTGTAATTAGAACTTTGTCCTATTAATAGACATTGGCCAGGCATTGCAGTCTTATCCTAGAGAATGTTCTTCATTGCACTGGGAGAATAATGAGTCTCATTCACTCTTAGCCTGAGCCACATCTGAACTAGTGACCCAGAGGTGGATGGCTCAGAGGCCCATTACCAGCACCCAAAGCCATCTATTGTGATGAGGGTGTTGATGGGTCCAGCTTAATGCCACCCAGATATTATCTCTAAATTCTAAGCAAAAGACAAACCGCTGCTACAAGGCAGACATAAAAGTCTCTTGCTGAGATTTGTAGAAAATTTTGTCATTTTAATTAACATTTCCAAACAATAATAATCATTATTTAGTGCTGCAAAGCTAGCCACACACCAAATACTAAATTTCTGAATGTTTTAAAGCAGGAAAATACTCTTCTGGGAAATGGAGAGGAAATTTGGTTTGCAGTTTCTAAACGGGGACTATCAAATCAAAGTGTGTGTGTGTGTGTGTGTGTTTCCTCCTTTTAAATAAAAAGTGTGTGTCTTATTCTGAAATCATTCTTCCTTTGCTAATCTGCCCCCTGACATGCAATACCTTTGCAAAAAATTCTTACAATGGATTAAAATTGTATTTTTAAAATTGAGCTCAAGATCTTGAGCTTTATGGTCTGCAAAAATACAAGGTAATTGGAAGTACTTTAGAACTTGGAACATGAATGAATAAAATAAATTTTTATAAGAGACTCTTTTTTTCATGCAAAAGAATGCAGGCAACTTCTTTCCCTTTACCTATTCTGCTTCCACTATTCTCATATTGTTTCCACCACTTCCCTGCATGAGTCTATCTCCTCATTCCCACAGTTTCCAAACCACTAGCTTATCTCCCAGATTGATCCCTTATCCCTTCATGCCTGACCCTGCAAAAGAGAGAGTGTTCAGACACAAAAAGCAAAGCGCTTTGAGTTTCTTCACAGTTGGTCTCTCTCTTTACCTGGGTTCTTTGTTCCTATATCCCTACTCTCCTGTAGGTTTTGATGCTGTCCATCTTCAGGTTCGGCCCCAATCAGCTCCCCAAGCTCATTTTCATTCAGGCAGAGCAATTTCAGACCTATCAGCTGATGGGGTCAAAATATTAAGAGCTAACATTTATTTATCTCTTGGCATGTGCGAAGCAACACTCTAAATCATTCACTCATTTGATCCTTTCAGCAGCCCTGTTGGGCACATATTATCACCATCCTGAGTTTTACAGAGAGGGAGACTGAGGCACAGAGAGGTTAACTAACTAGCTTGATGCAAGTGACAGAGTCGGGGTCTGAACCCAAGCAGCTGGGCTGCACATCTTCACCCCTCCTCTGCATTTCCTCACCATTTTGCTGTAGGTGTGAGTTGTCTGGGCATGCTTGGGACTTACTTGAATTACCCTCATGCCCAGTAGGTCTCAGTTTTTCTTTAAAGGGCCCTGGGTGGACCCAACTTTCATATCATTGCTTTTGTTTTGTTTTGTTTTGCCCTTCATGGCTACCATGGATCTTGTTCTATATCCTGATTCTCAGCTACTTGACATTTCTTTGGAATCTCTGCACAGTTTTCATATGTCCCTTAGGCAAGGGGATTCTAGAGGCTTGTGATTATCTGCCAGTGGCTGACTTGGATCTTGTTCTAAACAGATTGATCATCCAGTGCATTCCCTATCTGTATTTAACATGCATTATTAGTTGGGTGGGTCCTACCACCTCTCTTGAATCAATCTACTTTTCCCCACTTGTGCTATCTCCACATGTTTGTCTAAGCCCTCAACAGGGCTTATCTCCCCTCACCAGGGTGACTACTGTACATTCACGGTGGGTCTCCTGGCTTAACCTCTTGGCCTGCCCAATCTGTGTTCCATGCTGTAACCAGGGAAGTATGTAGAATATGAATATATGGTCATTTGCATGAAGAAAACCTTCATAGCTACTTACAACTCTTAGGATCCAATCCCAAATCTCTGATACAACTGGTGATGCCTCGCCTAGACTCTAGCTTTACCCTGATACACTCTGTCAATATGCCATGCTTCTTCCCATTACAGAAATTTCACACAAATTTCCCCCTGCCTTGAACCATCTTCTTCTCTCCCTGTAAATCTCTGACTTAGCCTTCAGGTCTTTGTTTAAAATTTACTAAGAGAATTCTCCCCTATACTTGCAGATCAGATTAAACCCTCCTTTGGTAATTTCTCAAAGCCCCTTTCTTCTGGGTGCTTAATTATATATCTAGTACTTACTGTGTACCAGATACTTAACAGCTGGAATTTGTTACTACATTATAAGACCCAAGAGCATTAATACCGTATTTGTCTTGTTCACACCTATGTCCCCAGAGTATATTTAGCACACTGCCTGGCCTACAGCATATACTGGGTAATGAATGAAGGGGCAAATGAATGAATGAATGAATGAATGGGCTGCTACATAAAACCTCCTTCTGTTAGAAGATTGGAAGGCTCCCTGAAAGACAACACTTATTGGACATCTACTACATGCTAAAAATTGTTATGGACTTAAATGTTTTTATTTCATCTTTCATTTACAATAACCTAATAAATTAGGTTCTAATATTAACCTCACATTACAGATAAATTCCAGTGAAAAAGCTAGATTTTAAACCACATGATCTATAGATGCCCAACTTTTAACTGATAAACCAAGTAGCTTTTTTATCTTTTTCCCTTTCTCTCTCTCTCTCTCTCTCTCTCCACACACACACACACACACACACACACACACACACACACAGAGTGTTTACAGCTTATCCCTTGATTTATGATACTCTTGATTCAATGGCCAGGGATAGGTTCATGGTAAGGACAAGGGTCTCAAAAGATGTAAATTCAAAGAGAACTGAACTCTTCAGCATTGCCATAGGAAGGTCCTTGTCATCTACACTTTCTTAGTTTCCTCCCAGACCAGCTGGGATGTGGGAGTGGCTGATGGAAAGACATGAAGGGAGGGAATGAAAATGGGCTTTTGCTTTTCTCTTGAGGCCAGAATCCCACTTATTTTAAACCAACAAGATCTCTTTGGACATCTGTCAAGTGATTTCCTACCTATTCTTTAGGTGCTATGAGTAAATGTTCTTTGGTTTGTTGGATGATGTGTGTGGGTTGAGCTCATTACATAAGCAAATTATGTGGAACATCCTGTGTAGTTAAGGTTGAAAGGTCAGAAATTACACCTATATTTTGCAAACCATCTCTCTATTGAGGTTGAAGATTTTATGTGAAAGCTGACAATACTTGGTTCCCATGGTTAGGCAATGAAAATTAAAAACATTTTATTCCTATTATAAATGATGACACCAATTTTATTTGATCAATATGGCACTTGAATAAAACATGTTTATGTTTTATAAACATTTATTTGCTAATTATGGGACTTACCAAACTAGGTAGCTATATAACTGATTTTTATTGTGTTTTTTAGATGTTTTTTGTTATTCCCTGGGTTAAGTTTTAAAATCCACAATTTAGAAATTATCAAACCATTGCATAGACACTGGAATCCTTCAACACACTTTAAAATCACACATTTGGCTAATTTGAGAATGTGAAGCTCAGGCCAGCACATTTTATTAGAGACACAAGCTTCTAGCTTTGTATTTTTTTTAATTTAATAAATTGCTGTGTTCTTATTCCTCCCCACTGTGAGCCATAGTTTCATTTTATGACACAAACTAACTCAGTCACTAGATAAAGCCTTAAAGAATAATTTGACAAGATACACTGAAGTCAGGATGACAGCTAGGTGAATGTGTTGTGCAATTAAATTATATCTAACAAAGGACCAGTAGTTCTCTACGTCCAAGAATGTTCAGATAACCACATCCACATTTGATCATTCAGCTGAATGCTAAAGTTAAGGTGACTGAGTTAGCTTGATCAACATATTATCACTCCATTTTTACCATGCTTTATACTAAATGTTTTGTAAGGTAGATTGTTAGGTTCTTGACAGATTGTATATTTAGCAATCTACAGAAATTCATTCATTAAGGTGTTGAAAGGAATTCTCTTTTTAGTGAAACAAGATACATGCCTATTAATGGTGCATCTTCATAAGAAACATCAGCTCATGCATTATAATTTCTTTAAGCCTTTCAGGATGATTCAAATATGCAATTTTTTATTTCCCCCAATATGCCATTGAGTTCATACAGGAAGAAAAGAGGATGCTTTTGTTAATGCAATCAATTGAATGATGCATAAAGAGGAGGTATAAAATTAGTTTACACTAATCATGACACCTCAGTAACAGATTTGACTCCATATAGTTAGAGAAAGATTCCTTTCCAAAGCCAATTCTTCCATGATAATGAAAACAACATTTTAAAAAGCATATAGAGGAGTTCTTGCAAGAAGGTAAAACAATGAATTATTAAAGGTACTGCAGCTTCTTGATAAAAATTTTATGATAACTGTACAAGTGTTCGTCTAACCTTGCCTTTTAGCAATATGGAAACATGAGCTGTGCTTATTTCAGGTTGTAAATTGGTTTCCTCTTATCGTCTCATTTAAACAATCTTTTCCAGAATAGACCCAGAGGTGGAAAATGACTCCAAATTATAAGCTACAAGTTTTTTTTCTCTCTGCCAGAATTATTACACCCATGATATTAGCGCCTTCCACTTTATAGTAAGGCAACTTGCATTTACAGAGGTTATTACATTTCTCCAACACAATATACCAATAGATTATAAATATTAGTGGTGAGAAGGAGAGTCTGAGCACTGAGCACAATCTCAACTGGGAAACATCTACAGGTATAGTATTTAGAATATGCCAAGGGGGGGAAAAAGACAGCAAAATGGAAAATTTTCTATTGGCACCTGCATCATCCTCTCTCTCTCTCTCTCTATATATATATATATATATATAGAGAGAGAGAGAATATATAACAGAGGTGACTGGTGAACAGAAAAAATACTAACCCAGCCTTTTTCTGTCTTTAGGTTCTATACTTACTCACTTTCTCTCCATCACAGACACATGCAGAAGAAGGGTAAAGAGAGGAACATGTATTCTTTGGGCACTTTCATAAGCAGATACCACAAAGCAATGGTTTTTATTTCAATGTTGCACTGAACTGCTACCTTTAGGATTGGTAACTGTTGATTGCGAGAATTTCTTCTACAAATTTATTTATTCCAGAGGAATCTCAGCCTGACAGCGCAGGGAGAATGCCCCCAACACGCTACATTGCTGCTGGGTACCGTTTGTCCTCATTCTACCACTGCTCCAGTATAAACACTTGAATTAAGGTAATAAATTCAAACTTGATCAAAGCTGCTCAATGGCTTGGGTACTGTGTTTTACAGAAATAAACAAACAATGAAGAATTTCATTGAGGCACTAGAGTAGTGTATAGAGCCCAGGTGTCACAGTCAGGAGCCAAGAGTTTTGGACTGAAACTGAGATTATTAGATTTAAAAGTAAATGACTTAGGGTAGGTGAATAGCCTAAGATACTGCTTATTACAAAGATGATTTTCTCAAGAAATAACATTATATTCACTTTTGAATTTATTTCCCTCTGGGGAGTTGTTCTCCGGCTCTATATATGTCAGCACACATTAATTTTATTTCTTTAATTATGATGATTGTTCAAAATAGCCCCTACCTCTTCATTTGGACTTGTAGAAATTTTAAGGATCAGGATTGGCTAACACGGCTTACCATGTGGAAAACACATAAAGTTAGTCACTTTAAAGCAAGTGAGGTGTAACGTATTATTGAGTAGAATTTACTCAACTTAGAAACCCTCAGTCCTGCACTGTACCTATTAGATGAGTTCTTCTTGGCCAAGGAATGTATATGTATGTATCACATTTGTTTGAGGAGACAGACACATGCTTTGTTGGGAATAAGTAAATCTTTAGTTTGTCATGACAGTTCAAAACTATTGACTCTGTAAAACATACACTGGGATCTGATGCTGATTTGGAAATCTTCCGTATGAAAAATCAATAATAGTTGTTCTACACTAGGACTGAAACAAAAGTCTATTATGCTTGGTTCTAGGCACTCATTATCATGTGCAAAGAGTAACTAGACTCTTTTTTTACATAAAGGAAATACCCAAGAACAGTTTATGTATAGTGCTCACTTTATTCAGGGTACTTTCTAAGTGCTTTATATTCATTACTTCATTTAATTCTTTTGCATGGACACTGTGAAATAGTACCTTCTTAGAAAGAGGCACTGACTACTATTTGCAAATAATACTTATGGTCATCTTCTGTTTCTCAAAACTGCTCCTCAAATGTAACAGTTGTGAGAAAGAGTAACTATACTTCCAGATTGACCTAGTATGGTTCTGAGATGATGGATGCTGCCTCAGCAGAAGCTAGTCAGAGTCCTCCCTTTTGCTCTTTTTCCACTTTGAACAATAAATTCCATAGTCCTCCGGTTATGATACCTGTATTTATTTCCAGTATGCTATGGATAATGCCAGGTCTCCCTTTCTTGAAAAACTGAAGTAAGCTGTGTTCTTGGCCCACTCTTTCTGCCCATTTTGTTCTTCCAGCACCTCCTTTCCTTTGGCAAATAGCCTCAGGAGCAATAAGATGGTAAAAGGATTATTTCCAACTACTAGTGTTGTGTGAAAAGTTACTTTTTCTTTAAAATCTAAACTAAAAAGGCACCTCTTTTGTGTGATTTTATAATGTTACCTGTGTAAAACCAATAAACATCCCCCACATATGGTATCAAGATTATTGATACTTACTAACATTGTGTTCAATAGCATGTACATAATAATGTTTCAGATAAGAGTGGCAGCCAATTAGTGGGTTGTGAGATTTATTTACTGTTTCCAAAGAACCATTTAAAAACAAAGTAGAAATAAAGTAGAGACTATCAGGGCATGCTGCACATATAAGAGTATGCATTACTTTGAGAAAGTCTGGTTTCAGGTGTGTGTGTGCATGTATGTGTAGTGTGTATGTGTGTGTGTGTAGGTAGAGATATACATAGATAGATGGTGTATATATATATAGTGTATATATATATATATATATATAGAGAGAGAGAGAGAGAGAGAGACAGAGAGAGAGAGAGAGAGAGTGAGCGAGCTAGATAGTGGTAGCCAGTCTCTATAATAGACCTTAATTATCCTTATCTCCTGGTATCCTCATCCCTATGTAGTTTCCTCCCATATTAAGTCATGCCTAGTTTGTATTATCAATAGAATATTGCAGAAGTGATTGTGTATGACTTCTGAGGCCAGGTTTTGAAAGGCTATGCAGGGTCTGCTTTGGCTTTGCATCGTTCCCACCGTGTGAAGCCATCATCCATATCATGAGGATGCTCAAGCAGCTTTGTGCAGAAACCCATGTAAGGTCAAATGCAAGTTCCCACCAAAAACTAGCACCAACTTGTCAGTCATGTGAATAGGCCACTTTGGAAGTAGAATTCCAATTGTACTTGAGTCTTCAAATGACCGCAAGTGACCCTACCTACATCTTTACTGAAGCCTTGTGAGAGACCTGAAGACAAAACCATCCAACTAAGCTGCTCCCAAGTGCCTGATCCACAGAAAATGTGAGAGACAGTAAATGCTTACTATTATTTTAAGCTACTTAGTTTTGAGGTCATTTGTTATGTGGAAATGGATAACTATATAATTATATTCACATTTAGGGATGCACATATACCATACATATAAGTATATATAAAAGGGTTTTCAGGTGATATACACACATAAAAAATATATATGAGGAGTTTCTGTTGCTGTGTAAAATGTACTTACTTCTTGTTATGTTGAAAAGAAAAGTTTTTTTAAAAAAATACCCAGGTATACTGGGAATGAAATAAGGGAAGAGAAAGAAATATGTTAAGCCCTACAATGTGCCTGATGCTGTACTAGATATTTTCTCATTCTTTAATCTACACTATATTTTTAAATAGACATTACTAACCCTATTTTCTATTGAAAATTAAAGAGAAATTAAAATTTTTGTCAAACATTATATTCTTTGCCTTTAAACTATTTTAACTTCTTTAGATAATATTTTGGGTTCTCTTCTTAGGACTTACTGCTGCTGCAATCTTTTTATGACCTGTAGATCTGTCCCTACCTTGACTTTTAATTTAGCTACTGTTTCAATATTATGATACTTCTTTTAAGTTTATTTATGTTGTCATGATTTCAGGTCATTATTTTAGTAAATAAACATTCTTTGAAGCAGATATTCTTTGAAGTGTTGCACAAACAAAACACTGCAGCATTTTACAATGTTTAATAATCAGTGAGGGATGAATATGTTCACAATTTTCAGTTTTCTAATAATGTTGTATGCTTTACTAGGTTTTGTTTTAGAATATAATGTCTATATTTAAAAAACAGAGTCTTTGTTGGAGTGATCAAGGTGATTTCAGAAACCAGTAAGTCTGGAATAGCTGTAATGAAGTCCATATTTACTAAAAATTTGATTTATTTAGGATTGTTGCATCCCATGGTGGAGAAATTTGTGTAGAATGTAGAATTTTAATGAATTATGTTCAAGGTTAATATTTTTGTGGGAGAAAACAGACACAGGATTTATGGGGAATTCCACACTTCAGGGAGAAGTTCTCTTAGCAGGAATTGAATCATTTCTGCAGCCCTTTATGGAACAACAGCTTTCAAAGTCAACTAAAGAATGTTCATAGGTTGATGAGAGGGAAAGGAAGGAGAGAGAGGGGATTAGAGATTCAATCAGAGTTATCAAGCTCAGCACAGGTGCTATGTCTTCATTGCCAGGTCAGGAAACTCATTGTCTATGCATGGCTCCTCAAACTTTTTAAACAGGGGGCTAGTTCACTGTCCCTCAGACCGTTGGAGGGCCATTGGAGAGTACGGTGCACATTCCACACATGCACACCATGGGCCCAGGACGAGTCAGCTCCTAAGCAGGACAGGCAGCGGGGGGCCGCATGTGGCTTGTGGGTCGTAGTTTGAGGATGCCTGGTCTATTGTATTCAAGTTATCCGTATTTTCACTAAGGCTTTCTATTAATATCTTCCCTGCAATATTCTCATTTGGGGGTTCAATTTCTATTCTCATAACTTTTCTTAATATTAACCATTATTAACATACTAAATTCAGTTTTGATAATCCAGTAGTAGCTGGCTGGCCTACATGAGAAAGCATTGTCATGTCAGCTTCTACACCTTCCATTGTCTTTACTCTTAGTAACGACATCAGTGGACCAGTTCTGACACTAACAAACCATCAACTAGGCCCCAGTGCATCACATGTTTTCCCTAAAACAGAGTACTGCTATTAATGGTTTAGCATAGTGATGCTCAAACTTGGGTCCATATGAGAAATACAAAATATTGATGGCTGGGCTCCATGCCCAGAGGCTCTGATGTGATTTAGTGTTAAATTTTACAATGGTATTTTTAAAAAGCTACCTAGTTGATTTTAATGTGTGATTATGTTTGAGAAACATTGATGTAGGATAAGTTACCTGGAAAATTTGAAAATAAATAACTTTTTATGGTAGTTAGAACATTTTTTTCCTTCTAAAACAAAATCATACATCCAATTGTGTACCTCCTTACACCTGGTTTATGCATTGCTTAGAGAATGAAGTTCAAACTCAAGTTCTTGTTCTTCTCCAGCCTCCCTGCCTAATAATTTCCTCCTTTGCATTTACATTCCAGTAATACCAAACTGATTGTAGATTACTTGTTATACTCTTACTAAGTTATGTTCTTGTGCCTTTACCCAGTTAAAATGCCCTTTGTCTTCCTACTTTCTTGTTATTTACATTGATACTATGAAATCACATTTCAGACACCCCCTTTCTGGCAAACTTTCCATGATACTTCATGTAGGATACCCTCCTTTAGTAATTTTAAATCTCATGCAGTTTTAGATTTGCATTTGTCCCTGATATTGTAATTTATTTTCTCTGTAGCTATCTTAAGTTGTTGGCCCCTTGAGAGTAGGAAGATTAAGGGCCTTTTGTCTGTATCCACATGTGAGTATGGATATACATAGTAGGCACTCAGTTAATATTTCTGAAAAGAGCTATATTTCCTCTTTCATAACTTTCTGGAAGAAAAAAAAATGTTAGTCAACAGATTGTTGTCTCCTGCTAACTAAGTTCCCTACTGTTTGTGTGCCATACAATCTGATCCCATTGAAACAATCCAAGGTCTTTCTTTTCCTCTTAATCTATTGATGTAGTCTTTA